ATATATTACGTAACTCGACTATCGACGTAATATATTAAGGCGACGCTATTCTAGTACTTTAGAAAGATATTTTACTATAATAAGTCTACTCTTATATTATCTATAATTCGTATAATTATTATAGACCTTCGAAGGGTATTAAAAAGTCGTTTTAAGAATACTCTTTTTAAAATTACGACTTTAATAGCGAAAGAGAGAAAGTTAATTATTAACTCGAGCTTCTAATATAAGATAATTATTCTTTTTAAAAGGTTTTTAATCGTGATTCTCGCTTTAATTAGCTTATTCGAAAGAAGTCTTATCTCTATACGAATACTATCGAATTCGATTCCTAGAAACTCGACTATAAAATCTACTATATCCTTTATATAATTAATTCGAAAGTTTAATTCGCTATATAGCTAATCGAACTATTAGATATATATAGCTATATTATTACTTAATAAAAGAATTATAAAGAAATCGTTTAAGTAGTAGAGTACTATTTTTTATAGAAGAATAGCGATTAAGATTCAAATAAGAATCTTTATAAAGAGATCGAATAGAAACAATAATATACGTAGTTCGAATAATAGATATCGTTCTTTCTAATAGCGTTTATCGTAGTTAAAACTAAGTAGCTATTAATTTAATATAGCGACGAATATATATCTAAAGGCGTCTTTAAGATCTCTTTTAACGAATTAAACTCTTAGGCCTTTCTATAGTAATATTACTACTACGTTATCATATATAATATATTTTAATACGCCTTACTTCGTCTAAATATCGTTATTAACTAAGTAGTTATATAGAAATAAGAGATTATAAATTCGTCTTTAATCTTTATCGTATTTCGATATTAATTCGAGTAGCGAATAAACGTAGTAGAGCTCGTTTTAAGGATTAACCTCGATTAGACGATACTATTAAAGCTATTTTTAAAGGTTCGCTAATAGTATTTAAGGTGCTTAACGTATTAATAGATAATTTTAATTATAATAAACTAAGATAAGGCCTCGAAAATCTATCTTAGCGCCCTTTCGAAGAATAGTTAAAATAATCTTAGTAAATATTAGATTCGAGTAATCGTTTAACTATTTAAACTAATTATTAACTATTAACGATTTTTAATAAAATAAATCCGGGTCTAGTAAGTTATATAGCGCGTACGAAAACCTCTTAGATATATACTATAGCGATTATAATATCTACGAATACTCTAGAAATTATTCTAGTCTAATAATATAATTATCTAGTAATAATTAATTAAAGATACTTATCGCTAAGTTATAGACTTTAGAATACTTATCTAATAAGTAATTTTATTAATAAATTAAATAGATATATAAATAGAGGTAGCGCTCGCGAAAATAGCTACCTCTATTAAAACTTCTATAAATTCTAAATTCTCCGACTATAACGGGCTTATTAAGGCTAAACGTATTGATATTTAACTTACTATTACTCGTATAAGTCTCTTTAAATATAAGAAAGTCTTTATAGCTCTAATTATTCGCTTTTTAAATCTTAAGATTATCTTAATTACTTTAAATATATATAGTAATAAAGGCGAGGTAATAAGCGAGAATAGAGTTAAATTTATAGATAAGAGGTAGTTATAGTAAGCGAATAGTATACGTATAAAGAGCTTTATTTAAATCTTTCTTTACGCTTATATAAATAAAGCGACTAACGGCTATCGAGTATATAAGAAAGTAATATATTATATAGTTATAATTATTAATATTCTTATTCTTCTTAATTAAGATAGTATATATATAAGCTAGCTTAGCGAAGTTTTTAATCTTAAAGATCTTAAAGAAGATTTACTTAAAGTATTTAATATTTATACTTCGAAATCTTTTAGTAATACTAAGAAAGGGCTTTTTATCTTTTAAGTAATAAAATAAAATTCCTCTTCTTTCCTCCTAATCCGACTTAGAGTCGGACGAGTCCGAATTCGATATGTTCGAGTGACGATAACGATAACTGCGACTATAGCGATGGTGGTAGCGATATAACTTATGAACTCAGCCCTCGTAATAATGGCGGTGATTTCGCTCCATCTGCAAATCTGAAAAGTTCCTGCAAAATTTGAAATTGCTGATCGCGCATTCGTTGCGGAAATTACAAAATCCGCCGAATTAGCAAATCTGATTAGAATTCGTCTAAATTCTATCGGTTTAGTAAATCTAATTAGAATCTATCTAAATTTCGCCGGTTTAGTAACTATTTTAATCTTTTCTATTAGTTCTATTAGTTTAATAACAATATATATAAAAAAGAAAAGTTCTAATAATCGATATTATAATAGTAAGATTTTACGATAATAAATATTAACGCTAACTTAAATTTAGCTACGGAATTAGATAATTTAATAAAATTAATTATATAAATAATACTCTAATATAGCGTATAATAATACGTATATTAATAATAATATATATTGATGCTATATATATATAGAATAGTACTTAGAGTATATTAGAGTGTATTACGTAAAATTTTTAAAGTTACTAAATTTTTTTAAAGTTATTAAACTGATAGAACTGGCGGAAAGAGTTAGGATAGTTGTTGAACCGGCGGAAAGGGTTAGATATAGGCAAAGTCTGCTGAATAGGCTAAATCGTGCTTATGATGCGGACCCGGCGGAAATCGTGCGGAAAGGAACTTTTCAGATTTGCAGATGTCCTCTTAGACCTTGGATAGCTGGGCTATTAATTTCGCAAGGTCTACCTTGGGCCCCCTAATAGGCGGGGGCGTTTCGTCGATCTCGTCCGGAGTAATGATCCTCGATAGCGTTCCGGGTACGACGATCTCGTCTCAAAGGGGAGGTATTTTGGCCTTGGTGGCCTTTTTTGGCCTTGGGGGCCTTAAAGGCCTTGTTGGCGGCGTTGGAGGTCTTTTGGTGACCTTAAAGGCGGGTGTGACTCGTATAGCCACTTTTTTGGACCTGGTAGCAGCAGCGGGAGCCATTATGAAGTATGTAAGAGTATAGAGTGTGCTTGTGGTAGTTAAGGGCTAATGTGTATAGACTTAACTACGAAAAGAAGAAGAAAAATAATATAGCTCTAATAGAGACGAAATCGAATAAAGAGCCGTTAATAGGTGTAAAACAGGTGGCTATATAGCTCGTACTAGATACCTATCCCCAACCCCTTACCGGGGTATCAACAGGGGTACCAACAAGGGTACCAACACGAACGGCTGATCAAACAGCCACCAACGCTATGGCCTCATAATGGACCCACTAACCCACAGTCCCACTGTTGCGAGAAGCCAAGGATGATGAGAAACTCCAGGTGGTTGGGATGGATCAAGTTGGCTTCCTTCGCTTCACAGCGAATGGTAAAAGCTGCCTTGGCACTAGTGACCTGAACAGCTGTACCGCTGTCGCTATCGTCTCGAGCAAGGCTGCAATCCTTGCTCACATTGCTCCACGCCCGTCGGACAGGAACAAGAGCCAAGCCACCGGAGACGACCACGTAAAAGCCAAGATGAAGGAAGTGAGAGACTTGCTTGTGGAACATCAAAGCGACTTCACCAATCAAGGATCAGATGGTGTCTTGGTTTACGCAGTGTACCAAGGGAAGGTTGCACTAGAGGACCAAGTCAAGATCATCGGCGCTCAGCTCAATGCGTGGAAATTGCCTACCACTCCCGTCCGATACCAAGTCCTCGAAGCCAAACAAGACCGCGGCCCAGCCAAAGGTACCGTACTAATCGATGCTCGGGGTCAGAAACCGGTTGTATGGGTTGAGGATACCTTGGCTACTAAAGCAAAGAGCGTTGGGTCATCAGCAGCAGAATCATCAAAGTCGGGCACGCGTTGAGAGTCTGAGCGTAGGGTGACCACGACTCTTGTTCGACGGCATTACCTGTAAATGACTCTCTTCCATCTATCTAACTTGGTTCAACTCGGATCGAACAACTGAAGAGACGTAACCCTATAAGGACTGTTACACATCCTAAGAACTTCCTTGCCTTAGGGTTAATGCAGTGTTCTTAATACAAGTCCATTTCGAAATAGCTACTGCCAATGAGTAGAGTGCTTGATAGAACAGCGATCTAATTGATACGAGACTAGATATATATTTGATTCAAAGGAGCAAGTTTGGAAGCTATCACGAGAGATATTATCAGATCATGATATTAGAGATTTATACGCGTTGAGAGTTGTAAGATTACGAGTATAGCTTCGAATATGTCTATGTATCGAAAATGAATAAAACGCATCATTTATGAGAACCTTTTGAGAGCGAAGTCTTCACTGTATGCCATTTAATGTTGTTTATCTGATCTATTCTTTTGCTTTGACCTGTATTAGATATTCTATTCTTTTTCTTTCTCTTTTCTTTTCAAGGATCAGTCGTCATGACTTCTCACTCTTTTCAAAACCGCCCATACTGTCTTTACTCAACAACCTTGTCTACAGCAAGCCGCATATGACACGAGCATATGGCACTTTCCTATACCCTTTACGTCCACTCATACACACATGGCAGGTTAATCACTCGGCTCTCTCAGGCAACATGTGGTAGAACTCATCGGTCGTTTAGCATTACCAACGTCACAAGTTCCACTATACCACAGCTTTCTCGGTCGCTTCCATACGATCCACCGCCGAGAATTTCCTCCTTTTCGTCAAGGTTACGATGCTTCAACTAGACGTGTTGTTGTCAACCCATTTTACGCATTCAGGGAAACCTTCCAGCATCGCACTCCCAAACAAGGCATTCATACACTCTTCCAGCGTAAACGCATACCGTCTGGTCCTGCATCAATCGAAGGATCATCGTCCCAATACTAGAAGCCTTTCACATTTCATTCAAATTGGAGAACCCTCCTCCACATGAAGACAGAGGTTCGATCGACGAGCCCCCTGACTTCTGAGATGAGAGCCAAGGTAGCGACGGAGCTCAAGCAGGAACACATTGCTTACCTATATTTCGTAAATGGTATGGAGGCCTGGATACACTAGACAACCGAGTAAGGCGAGGCCGTCGGGATGTTCAGACTCATACGCTCAATGATCCCAACACTAGTGATTAGACGCCGGAGTCCATTAGACAAGAAAGTACAGAGGCAGAACGTTCTAATCATTCGGAGAGATGACGAAGATGATCCCAGCGCGCTAATCGATTTCGATACCATCAGGTCACAATCACTCCCACAAGCGAGATCTAATATCGACACCGATGATAGCGATAGCATAATTCGAGGCTCTCTAAGGACGGTCGTTTTTTTAATTCTAGATCTGCAACACAGAGACGAAATAGCATTCCCGGATATGCGCCGCAGCCTAAGTGATCGATCCGTCCGTGCGGATGAATATGTCTCTGAGGGTATGCGCGATGTAGACATGAAGGGAAGCAACAACGTGCATGTTGAACTTTGGACGAAAGCAGAAGGCCATTCTCAAGCTGAAGGACTAGGTCAAAAATTCAATACTTCTTACGACTTAGTAGACGAAGGATCTGAAAGGAACGAAGGAGCGATGACCGTAGATTGGTATCACGCTTCCAAACGAAGATCGAAGACTTGGCAAGAAAATTTCTATGCTAGGGAGATCAAGTGTCTCAATTCGTTTTTACATGCATGCGGAGTATGCAGGAGACGAAATCGTGAATATCAAAGATAGCATCGTGTGGAGAGATGGAAGCAGTTGACAAAAAGCTTCTCAGTGTGTCTAGTAGAGTGCGGGATAGAATTTCCGATCAATCGTATCTCAGACCACTGCCTCTTGCCTTGTTGTTCAGTCTCTTCTCTTCCAAAACGGTATGGCCGTCGGGCTCCTCCCTACTTTTCAACTGAATTGGCAAACCGTGATATTACATTGGTCTGCTTCTTGGCCTGGCTATACTCCTGCAGATGCAGATTGAATCATTACGTGCCCGGCGCGCCTAGCAATCGTGAGTGACTTCGCAAGAGTCCACAACATCCGAGATCGAAGACCGATGGAATGCTTCTGCTTGTTTGACTTTGCAAGCCTGCTCCGAGTATGGACTCTGGCCTCCGCACCTCCACCCCCAGCAGCGTCTTCCACAGCCAAGATTGCCAACAAACGGTTCCACTCAATCCTGCAATCATTCTTCAAGATATGGCCCTTTTTTTTTTTTTTTTTTTTTTTTATTTTTTTTTTTTTTTTCCCTTTCTTTTTGTTTTTTATTATGTTTTTCTAAAAAAAAAAAAAAAACTTTCAAAAAATTTTTTTTTTTTTTTTTTTTTTTTTTTTTTTTTAATTTTTTGGGTAGCAAAACCCCCTAACACCCCCCCCGGGGGGGGGGGGGGTGGGGAGTTGTTTTGGGGAAGGGGGCCGGGGGGGGTGTTTTTTTTTTTTTTTTTTTTTTTTTTTTTTTTTTCTTTTTTTTTTTTTTTTTTTTTTTTTTTTTTTTTTTTTAAAAGGGGGGGGGGGGGGGGGTTTTTTTGGGGTTTTTAGGGGCGCATCTTGTACCAGATTCTGGTGCATGGGCATCGGAATGATTGGATGGGAGCGCAATTTGTCATCTTTGACGAGGCGAGCGGAGGTGAGGTCGACATGGATTTCTGTCCGGGTCAGCTTGGGCGTATTTTTAATATTGTATGTAAAGCGCTATTTGTTGCATTGTATGGCCACCTGGCTGCTTTTTGGTCTAGAAGTGGAATAATGGTGGTATGATTATTCTAGGCTTGATGCTTTAAACGCATTGCGGAGTATCGAATGAGAGAGCCTCGGTAAGTGTAAGACTGTTGTCGCCTTCAAAGAGGTCGTCAACTCGATTTGGCTACCTGCTTGTTCTGTGTCTTCCGAGAACCATGCAAAATGACTAGTGATACAGCGTATGATTCAATGGATGCCTTGATATTGGATGAACACCATAGACGGCACCCTGCGGACACGTAAAATTTCCAAACGCCTCCAGCGCCTCGCTAAGTGGTAATACCAGATGCCAAAGTGTCTTTTGTGAGAATGAAACACGATGCATCATCTCCTAGCCGCTGCTCCGAGCCTGCTGTAGGCTCGCTGAAGGGCTTTCTTCTCTTTGCCATCATGCTCAAGAACAGACACAACGTCCCTGAGTTGAATGCCAGAACCAGTATCCTTATCTTCCCTGAATTGCCCGAACACCCTACTTTTCGGTAAACCAAGACCAGCACCGTTCCCGCCTGAAGCCCCAATTTTGGAGCCCTGAGGACCTGCCTTGGGTTTGTTCGGTAGATATGGATTGCTAGGTGTTGTATCGGTGCCTCTTTTCATCCATGACGGCGTCGCCCTACTGCCAAAACCTAAAGCCATGTTCATTGTCTTGGTGGTGGCAGCATGCTGCGCCGCCTCGTTTACCTTCTTCGCCGCCGCTTCCTTGTTCTTACTCCCCCTCCTTGTATCTACATCAGGAGCTACGTCGCCGATGAGTCCAGCAGTAGCAGAACCTGTTCCATTGCTATCAGCTTTCGCTGCGCGACGTCGGCGCTTCGCGAGTCGTTCCTCTTCCTGAGCTCGCTCGTCTTTGGTGATCTTTTGAAGAGCGTGCACAACAGGGTTGGCAAATTGGATGGTGGTAGGCGTGGCTGGCTCGCTGGCAGAAGGGGTTAAAGGTCTATTGACTTCGGCGTAGGAGCCTATTGAGCAGTAAGTATGAGTTTGCGCAAATAGGACAAATAGGTCGTACGCTTGAGCGAATTGCTCTTTGGCGAGACAGCGCTGTTGCTAGGGGTTGGCAATCCGTTCGCTGTCTCAGTGGCTCCCTCGCCAGTTGCCAAATCAGCCAACTCAACCGGGACTACGGCATGCGACCCGATTCTCCTGCCCTTTGCCAGGTTTGCAGCGTCTTCCACAAGTCCACGCATTCGCTCCTCTGCAGCCAAGGAAAGTAAAGACAGTATCTCAACGTAGGGACCCTCCGTATTTAGCAAAGGTTCCCCCTTTACTATCCTTAGGTTCTCATTCTTGTCCGGACCATGGACAAGAAGCTGATGAGGAACAATCTGCCCGGTGACATTGTTTAACAGGCCATTCCGTGGGACCTGCACTTGCACAGTTTGAGCCTGTATTAAGAGTCGTCTTGATAGAGAACCACCCCAGAGGAACGGATCATTAAGGTGGTAGGATTTGATCTCAGCTTTGCGCCGTATGGCCTTCTTTCGATCTGCAGCTGCGATCTCCTCAGCGGACATATATGGCTCTGCAGGCTGATTGAAGGTGCCAGCTCCATAGAAGCTATTTCGGTCGCCGGGAACATTTGACGAATAGAAGTTGTCGGCGGATGTTGAATAGCTCGCTCCGAACGAATTGAATGAGCTCCCACCATAAACTGTATCCTGTCTTTGTTGGCCTGGCCGACCGTACGCCAATAACGCAGCTTCCTCCTCCCTAAGATCGACACCAGATCCCGCCAAAACGTCTCCTAGCTCGTTGATGTCCGTAGGCTTGTCAGCAGCAGGCCGCGAGGGAGGTCCCATTGTTCCCGTGGGTGGGGGCTGCGAGGGGGCGGCAGAATGGGGAGGAGGCGCATAATGCTGAGGGGGTGGGTGGTTCATGGAATTGTAGTTATTATTCGGCGTGTAGGGGCTTCCCGAACCGTATGTGTTACTCGGGCCGTAGGCGGGGCCTTGCTGGCTAGGGTATGAGGGACTTTGCTGGTTGCCGTAACTGTGATTTGTGTTGTAGGTGTGATTTGGTGGACCACCGTTTTGCTGAGTACCGTAGTATGGACTGCTAAAGACTTGATTCGGTAGAGCGATGTTCTGTATACCTGGCGAATTGTATGGCGACTGAGGATTTGGAGAGAGTCGTTGGCGTTTGTTCGCGGGGAAGGGATAAGGGGGGGCATGCTGAGGTGAGTCTGTCCGTCCTGGAGGGGAGAACACGCGCGGAGGGTATTGCTGCTGCTGCTGTTGCTGTTGGTGCGTCATGATGGAAAGGCACCCTCGGCGCTGCTCTCGATTGTCAAGGCCTCCTTCAAGACCGCCTAGAGGGGCAAGGCCACCTGCGCGAGCTTTGCTCTGCGCTCTGCCGCAGCTTTCTCCTAGTTTCCTCGCATCTGCGTACTTAGCCAGAGCCAAAAGAGTGTGGTAGGCGCAAGAGTCTTACGTGACTTGAAGCGCTGCAACGAAGGTTGTTGTGAGGATGGTGTGATAGATTGTCCATGAAAGAGCCATGCCACTGTTGAAGCTAGGAATGCGGCTCCGCAATTTTCGTCATCACGTGCCCAGTCTTGGCACAAGCAAAAATAGCTCGCTTCAAGCTTGACTTGTTCTTTACTTGCATCCATCGCCGTGAGCAACACTACCGTCATCCGCGCATTCAAGCTTCTTTTCTATGCTACAAGGGCCATCTCTACAACTTCTACCGCTGCTTTCCCAGTATGATCGGGTGTCCAAAGACAGCAGGCGGCCATTTCGATCATTAGCAAGGACGCATTCCTTCATCACATTTCAGCATGGCTGCCAAGAGGAAGCTTGGAGCAATGGCGGAGGTGATCGAAGAACCTATCGACCCAGCGGATGAGCTCATGTTCCTTTGCCTAGGAGGTGGGAACGAAGTGGGCAGATCATGCCATATCATACAGTACAAGGGCAAGACCATCATGGTACGGCTTATGGCAGTCTTACTCTCTACGCTATACGTATTGTACTGACCAGATTATCTCACAGCTCGATGCTGGACAACACCCTGCCCGAGAAGGTCTTGCAGCTTTACCCTACTTCGACGAATTCGACCTTAGCACCATCGACATACTGCTCGTTAGCCAGTAAGTGCTCTATTTCCTCTCGGTAGCGATTTATCTTATAATATACGGGCATTGGGGTATTTTGGGGGGAGGTGTTCAGGACTTGGGAACACCGGCGGCATCCTTTGCTTTACTGGTGCTGGCATGACCAGCTCGTAGAGTCGGATAGTAGTCCGTACCCTTTGCGCAGGCCACTTGTTCGTCAAAAGTGTCAAAGCACGAGTATGTATGCAGAACATCAATTGAATGTCGTTCACCTCGGCCATGCTCCAATCCGCCGCCTCTGCTCGCCAGTGATGCCCCACCAGTCGTTCTTTGCTATGCCGTGCACTTCTGGCCTGAAAAGTTGCTGTCCATTTCTGGATCTTAAACATACGCCTCAACATGATAATGATGCTGACCCTCGCGTTTCAGCTTCCATCTTGACCATGCCTCGGCATTGCCCTACGTCCTTGCCAAAACCAACTTCAGAGGACGCGTCTTCATGACGCATCCTACAAAAGCGATTTACAAGTGGCTGATACAAGACAGTGTACGAGTACAGTACGTCCACGAGTCTTTCTGGAGCAATCGCCTAGCTGACTCCTTTGCAGGAGTCTCTCTTCCTCCTCCGAACAACGAACGGCCCTCTACACTGAAGCCGATCATCTTTCAACTTTCTCCCAGATCGAGGCCGTGGACTTCAATACAACGCACACCGTTTCCTCCATTCGGTTTACGCCATATCCTGCCGGCCATGTTCTAGGAGCTGCAATGTTCTTGATCGAGATAGCTGGTCTCAAGATCCTTTTTACAGGAGACTATTCGCGAGAAGATGACCGCCATTTGGTTTCCGCGGAAGTCCCAAGGGGCATCCAGATCGATGTACTCATCACAGAAAGCACATACGGCATTGCTACACACATACCACGGGCAGAGCGAGAAACTGCATTAATGAAAAGTGTGACGGGTATACTCAATCGAGGAGGAAGAGTCTTGATGCCTGTCTTTGCCCTGGGACGAGCTCAGGAGCTTTTGCTAATTCTGGACGACTACTGGTCACGACACGCCGAGTTTCAGCGCATACCGATCTACTATGCCTCCAATCTTGCCAGGAAATGTATGGTAGTGTATCAAACGTACGTTTCCGCCATGAATGACAACATCAAGCGTCTTTTCCGCGAGAGAATGGCAGAAGCAGAACAAGCTGGTGATACTGACAGAGGTGGACCTTGGGATTTCCGTTTTGTTCGCAGTTTGAAGAACCTCGAACGATTTGATGATGTTGGGGGCTGTGTAGTACTGGCGAGTCCGGGAATGCTACAAAGCGGCATCAGCAGAGAGCTTCTTGAACGATGGGCGCCCAGCGATAGGAATGGGGTCGTGATCACTGGATACAGCGTAGAAGGCACAATGGCAAAACAGATGTCGCATGAGCCGGATAGCATACCAGCCATCATGACCAATCGAAGCGCAGCACCTGTGGGGAGAAGAGGTCCGGGCGCCAATGGTGAGGCCGAAAAGCCAATGATACCAAGGAGATGTAGCGTGCAAGAGTTCAGCTTTGCTGCTCATGTGGATGGTCAAGAGAATCAGAGTTTTATCGAGGAGGTTGCAGCTCCTGTTGTGGTATGCATGATCTACCCGATATCGATAAACTGTATTGACGACCCTTGCAGATATTGGTTCATGGAGAGAAACACAACATGATGCGTCTCAAGTCCAAGCTTCTTTCGCTCAACAACGACAAAGCAACCAAAACCAAAATCTTCAGCCCTGCCAACACCGAAGAACTTCGCATTCCATTCAAAGTTGACAAGACTGCCAGAGTGGTTGGACAACTTGCTCAGCTTCCTCCGCCCAAATCCTCGGACCCCGAGGAGGAAAGGCTCATTACCGGTGTCCTTGTACAGAACGATTTCAAGATGTCCCTGATGGCGCCTGAAGATCTCAGGGAGTATGCCGGATTGAACACGACCACGATCATGTGCAAGCAGAAGATCACGCTAAGCGCAGCTGGGATCGACTTGATCAAGTGGGCTTTGGAAGGAACTTTCGGTGCCATAGAGGAGATCAAGCCGCAGAAGAAGCCGTCGTCAAATGGGGCTACTCAGGTCAACGGCAACGGTGTGTCCCATGAAGAAGAAATAGCAGACGAAGAGATTGAATACTCTCCGCATGCGGTTGCGTACCTGGTCATGGGCTGTGTGATTGTTCGGTACCAGAACAATGGGCAGGTAGAGGTCGAATGGGAGGGCAACATGCTCAATGATGGGATTGCCGATGCAGTGCTGGCTGTACTATTCACAGCGGAAAGCAGTCCGGCTGCGGTCAAGCGTAGGTCTTGGCCTGACAGCGTTTCTGCAAGATTGCTGATGTCTCTCAGAATCTTCGAAAAGTCATCAACACCACCACCATCAGGGTGAACGCAACCTTCACTCGAACGTCACACCGGAAGAGCGATTCTCACGTCTCTGCATGTTCCTTGAAGCCCAATTTGGTCCCTTAGTCACTCCTCTAGCCAAACCGAAAACCCTCCCTAAGCCGCCGAAGCCTGCGCTTGACGGCGACGGCATCAAGAACGAGCCCGAGGAAGAAGCAGATGAAGATGATGTGGAGGACCAGGAAGCAGAAGAAATCGAGAGGTTGCATAGTATTGGGATTCCCGTGCCTGGCGTTCAAATCAAAGTGGACAAGCAAGTGGTGAAGGTCTGGTTGGAGACGCTGGAGGTGGAGTGTGCGAGTAATGTGCTCCGGGAGAGGGTGAAGGCGGTGGTCGAGAGGGCGGTAGAAACGGTAGCTCCACTTTGGGGAAAGGGCAAGAATTGAGATGCGGTAGTCGAGATGATGATGACTGACATCTTTCGTACGATATCCCGGCGCTCTAGTAGCATTTGGCAGGAGCAATGGTGTACCCACTGTGGTCCCATGTATTCTTGTTGACTTATCGAGTGCAAATTTCTTCCCCTGCTTTATTCTTCTATTATCCATTGATGTATCACTGGGAACCGAGAGCACGTCGTATGCCAGAGGCTGTGCTGTGGCTGCTGGAGAAATTCACGTGATTCGCCATTGGCTGTAGTCGCGTCATTGAGATTAGGTAGCTTCACTCTATCACTCTATCCGCCATTAAGGTAGGTACTTGTTATTGCCAGGCGTCAAAAGGATAGATTTAATTCCCGCTCTGCTATATAATCCAAGCGCTCTGGTTGATAGTAGAGACTTTCCCAAGACTCTTTCATCTAAATGAAGAAAGAAAAAAGAAAAAGTCGAGGTTGCGCTTCTCGGCGAGTTACAGAATCCGTGGTCTTCCTAACAACCACCGTCGTCATTTCTTCCTCCCGAGTTTTGCTCTAGCTCTCGAATAGGCTTAGTGCACTTTCTCATCTCCAAATCCTCTCACCACCTCTCAAGCACTGTCCCCAAATCTTCAACGTCCACGACACAGCAATCCGCTGCCTTTACCAGGCTCTCAGCTGTGATCCAGGTTGATATTCGTCTTGCCCAACATCTAGTCCTACTTTACACCCTCGCATTTACCCATTGCTGCCTCCCAAGAGGCTCGGGAATCCAACGCCTGACCAAGACTCCGCCTTTCCCCCCCCAACGCGCGACCGAAACACCCACTAAAAGTGCTCATTTTCCACGGCCACCTCATTCCCAAGAGCAGAGAACACATCACCCGGATTCTCTCAACACTCAAGTCGGTCATGGAGAATCCATAGCCTTCGATTCAAAGCCTCTCTAGCCCAGGTGTCAGCACCATTTCTTGCCGCCCGACACCGAACAGCACTATCGGGCCACTCGACCAGATCTTCTCACCTACGATGAGCGATGTCTTTGCCTTCTACAATGACTGCAACTCTCCCTCCTCATAGCCCTCACTTCGGTCATCATTCAGCTTACAGCACCAACTCGGCTTCTTACGCAGCTAACAACTCATTGCCGAACGGATCCTCGTCGCGATTAGCTCCTTCTTACAGCTTTCCCAACAATACACCCGGATCCGTTCCACGGCCCTCCAATACCTCGGCTTCAAGACAACCCCCTCAGTCCAGCAATATGACAACTTCACAGTCTACATCAGCGTTGCAGGGATCGAGGAAAAGAGAGAGGCGTCCAGATTGGCATGAATTTTACAAGAACGGACCACCTAAAGAGATCATTGTCATTGATGACGACTCACCACAACCTCCATCACGGAAAGAGAATGAGCGAGTTCCCCAGCAGCAACAGCCACAAGCAACAGTGAGAGGTGCAGAGCATGCCAACAAGAAGAGGCGGACCGGTCCCACAACCGCCTACGATGCTGCAAGGGATCAGCAAGCATTTTCCCATGCCCGTACATATTCGAATGGGAACAGTGGGTCCAACACGATCTCAACGGACCGAACCACATCGCTACAGACTACAGCACCTACATCATTGGGGTCACATTCGAGTCATGGGACCAGTGGAGCGTATGCCGAGGACAGTGTAGTCGGGCAGAAGAGGAAACGCGTAACACGGCAACAGATTGCTGATGAGAAAAAGAGGAAGGAGATTGAGGTAGTAGGAGACGCATATAGTGCCTATGTGCCGCCACCGAAGCCTCCCATCAAGGCTCGAGATGTCCATGTGCCATCGATCAAAGATGTAAGGCATTTACCATACAGGCCAGAATCAGGACGCTGACTTTTGGAGAAGACTGTGACTACTCACGAGAAGATCGACGATGATGATGGCCATTACATAGTGACAGAGGATATGCCCATAGGTGACAGATGTGAGTGCCTCTCGAAGAGCGGACTGTCATTAGACGGACTGAGTGCTGACTGTTTGCAGATCAAGTGAACAGACTTCTGGGCCAGGGCACCTTCGGCAAAGTTGTAGAAGCTTTTGACAGACGGACAAGGTCGAAGTGCGCGATCAAGATCATTCGATCCGTGCAGAAATACCGGGATGCCTCGCGTATTGAGCTACGGGTGCTACAGACTTTGTCCCACAATGACCGACAGAATCGGAATAAATGCATACATCTACGGGACTGTTTCGACTTCCGTAACCACATCTGCATAGTCACCGATCTTCTGGGCCAGAGCGTCTTCGACTTTCTTAAGGGCAACCTCTTTGTGCCTTTTCCAAGCAGTCAGATTCAGAGTTTTGCTCGACAGCTCTTCACCAGCGTTGCTTGTATGTCCTCTATCCTACCTTGATTGGGTTTCAACTGACATTGTGCTCCAGTCTTGCATGACCTTAATCTAATACACACCGATCTAAAGCCGGAAAACATTCTCCTCGTCGGCAACTCATATCAAACCTTCACCTATAACCGCAACATCCCTTCTTCGTCTACTACAGTACAGCGCGTTGCACGCCAGCGGCGAGTCCTACTTGACACCGAGATCAGACTCATTGACTTTGGATCTGCAACGTTTGATGACGAATACCACTCCACCGTCGTTTCAACAAGGCACTATCGAGCACCGGAGATCATACTTAACCTAGGATGGAGCTATCCGTGCGATATTTGGAGTATTGGCTGCATCCTCGTCGAATTCTTCACCGGTGATGCTCTCTTCCAAACGCATGATAATCTTGAGCATCTTGCAATGATGGAGAGCGTATGCGGCGGCAGGATTGAGCCTAAGCTGGTTCGGCAAGTCCAGGGCACTGGTCGAAACAATAATCGCAACCAAGCTGCAGCGTGAGTAATGTGTCTACTCTATTCACGAAATATGCTGATCAATCCCAGGTTTTTCACCCGAGGTTTGAAACTTGACTACCCAAACTCGGAGACTCCGAAGGCTTCGAAAAAGTATGTCAGGGCTATGAAGACACTTCCCGTATGTAATTCTTCGCGCCTTGCCGAGGGTAGCAGCTAAATAAGCTATAGGAGGTCATCCCCGCAAACACAGCGTTCAACAAGCAATTCCTCGACCTGCTTCGCCGTATCTTCGTGTATGACCCAAAGCAGCGTCTCACTGCGAAGCAGGCTCTCAAGCACCCTTGGTTTAAGGAGACCATTACGGATGATGGCACAGAGGCTGCGCGGATTAGGTTACAGCGGGAAAGGGCGAGGGAAGAGATTGATCTTGAGTACTATCAGAGCGGCGAGGACTGATCCTTGACGGATTGCCTCACGAAGCGTCTTCTATTCAAAAAGGGCAAGCTGCATTTTCTGCATAATGGAAAGCCTGCATGAGGTGGCGCAGGATAGTAACGACATGCATGAACATGGCGTAGGCAGCAAGGTACTTGGGTCTTGCTTGCGCAACTGAGGGATCAAAATGTGCATTATTCGTTTCGAGACGAAGAAGTGACGGACTTTGTTCACATGTTGTACATTCCAATCGAGAGTATAAGACTTGGTAAAACGCCAAGCTCGGAAGGATAGAGGGTGTTTGTAGAGGATTCCAACCACTGTGCCCTCCATTGCCATAACTCCTCATATCTACCACTTCAAAGTCAACAATATCAACCCCCGCCTAGTCTTGCCGTGATTGGTGCACCTAGCCAATCATGAGTCATGTGGGAGACTGAACCTTCACTTTCTATGACACTTTGGCAAGACAAAGGCCTCCATCATTTCATTTCTCGAGCACCTTCACGCCCAGCAACACATACCGCAAATGATACAACCCTGCCTCATTCGCGTACTAAATCGCTCCACTCCATTATGTCGTAGATTTCACCTTCACCTCCACCCTTGGTTTTCTCCCCACATACGCTTCATGCAGCGTGAGAATGAAGACGGTGGCAGTGGACTTGGCCTAGTGTTTTTGTTGATAGATCCACTACCAACACTACCACACGATCGTCTTGTCTCTTACCCGGCTGGTGTCGAGTTTCACTGGATATCGCGCCTTACGTGGTAAGTAGACCGAGAGCTCTTACAGGTTTACGGCAGCTTGTTTCGAACACAAGCACAAGCACAAGCACAAGCACAAGCACAAGCACAAGACACCCCTATCCGGCACATCTTCTTCTTTCGGTTCATGAGCCGTCCATATCTCCAATCCTGTCCGCAAACTTACCTCGCTGTTGGTATCTCGCTAGGTTCGAAGAATCGTGGCGCCGGTGAGTTGCCTTCTGAATGTATGAGATGATGCGCTAGCTTATTGAGAAACAGGGTAGGTAGGCAAGTAGGTTCGCCGAATACGGCCTGAGTCCACTAAAGTTGGTTTCGGAGATTAAACAGCTTCGCAGGGCCGAGCACCGACTTCCACTGAATATCTGCCTGCTTCTGAGAAATCAGCAGAAAAGACCGAGAGCTTAAGAAACACAAGTCGAGCATCGCCTGCCGAATATAGTCCACCGTATTTGGATGTTCAAGCTCTGAGGAGGATGATTCCATAATCTCACACGCTGATGTGGTAGGTTTAAGAAATAGTCATTCTCCAACTGACCTTGCTAATGACTCTAGGACGGGCACGAATTCGATTATCGCAAAGTCATCCCGGCTCTTGTGCCCGAAGGTTGGTCCAATGACCCCAACGACCTTGAGCCAGTCAACCGCCCTCTGTCTACCGATGACAATAGTCTACCACCGTTTGTGCTACCGATACTAGCTTCTAGAGAGGATAGGCAGGCTGTTCGCTACTTGTTATCGATCTTCGGAAGGTTCTATCTCTGGACTCCAGCCTCGAGTGAGCTTTTGTGTGTGACCCAGTCTCACAATTCGCGGGGAATCTTGCAATGTATTGACAAGCATTCGTTCGGGCTCCGAACCAGAGTCCTCGAACCATTGTCTTGCTGGTACTCTCACCATCAGATCATACATCTTCTACTCTGGTTTTGGCGAACCCCAAAAGGCTGGTCGTAGGATATGAAGAAGCTCAAAGACATCA